GCAGGGCTGTCCTGGTGTCCAGAGCAGGGATGCAGGTGGCTTGGGCCAGGTTGAAAGTGGACAGATTTGAGAAACAACCTAGGGTGGGAGCTACATGGCCTCCTGATGGAATCATGTGCTTCCGGCTCAAGTAACCATGGGAATTACTGAGCTGGGGAGGAAGGGAAGAGGAAGGAGCCTTCAGAAACCGCCCTGTCATGCTTTTGTCCTTTGCATCCCTTCATGAAGATAGCTATGACCATGGCCCGCAGGTCATGAGAGAAGCCCTGCAGTTCAACTCCGCGTCCTACCCCATCCTTTCCTGGCTCGTCAGTGCCCCACGACCACCACAGCTCCCAACCCCGGTCTATGACGCAATTCAACCTTCAATGGTGAGCCTCACTCTGGGCCAGCTCTGGGAGGACAAGACCAGCTCGGCGAGGGAGCCGAAGGAGTCCTGTGGGCCACAGCTAGGCTGGGGCAGGAGGCTGGTTACTTCCGGCAGGCGGTGCATTTCTCTGGCTCAGAGTTTCCTGTCTCCTCCCAGCACACTTTAAGTGTAGGTCCTCTGAGAAGCTCAAGTTATAGGTAGGACCTCCCGTTCTCCCACCTTTCACATGCCCGGTGAGGACCCCATAACCCCAGCTCCCAGCCAGAGGCTGCTGCAGTGAGAAGCACGGAGATAGGCTGTGAGCAAGAGGCAGGCCTGGTTCCACTTCCTGTGTGAAAGAAAGCCTCGGCCTTCAAAGAGCAGGGTTACTGCGGACGCCTCAGCCCAGGCTGCTCCAAATGCCGGAGCTTCCCTCTGGCCCTGTCTGTACTACCTGGTGGAAGACACAGGCCAAGACAGAGCAGGGCCCCTGGCTCTGAGTCCAGGTCTGGGCTTGAGCACTCCCCACCCCCAGACTGCTTCTATGACCAACATGGTGAATGGCGTAGGGCCCGGGGACTAGGAGACAGAGGGACAGCAGGTGGTGTTGAGGGAGGGGGAAACACTCAGCACTGCCAGGCCCTGCCTAAGCCTTCAGGGGAAGGCAAGACTGAGGCCTAGCCCTCAGTGGATGCACAGGAGGAGAGAGGGCCAGGGCTCCTTCCTTAGCAATCTTGCAAGGCAGCATCCTCTTACTACAGGGAGACAATGCTCCCTGACCTCAGCCAAGCATGAAACAGCAAAGGGGGGCTGTGTGATCCAAGGAGGAGGGGATCATTGCAGGGCTGGATTTCCTCACCGTTTAATTCCAAGGAAGGGTGACCCCGGGCTGGTTTTTCCATTAATTGCCCTCCACAGACCAGAGGAAAGTAGTTTACATTTTCACCAACGCCCCTGACAGAAGAATGAAACCAGGGCTCAGGGTAGGCCTGGGGATTCCATAAGGCCGGCCAAGGTTATCTCTTACGGCCTGTGGGATTTCAGGTTAAATACTTTCAGAGCCCACCCAGAGCCCTCGTACTTCTCACGGGCCACGTGGCCACATTCCTGGGCTCCCGCCTGACACCAGCACAAGCAGAAGGAGCACTCTCCTTGTCTCCCTAAATCTTTGGAACCCACAAGTCTGTTTCCTGTGCTCCGGGGAGAAGTGGGGGGACCCAGAAGGGGGCCACACTACATGGTCACGGGACAACAAGGGATCGCACACCCAAAGATGTGGCCATACTCCCTTGAGACACCAGTTTCTGCGTAATCAACCGCAAAACAACGGGCTCCCTGAAGAGATGAGAAGTGAGGCTCAGAGAAGGTCCATGTGAGGCTTAGAGAAGGTCCCGTGCTCCCCAGCCAGCCCTCCTCAGTCCCTGCCCATACTGCCCAGGGTACAGTCCTTCCTGCCCTAAGCAGCTCCCCTGGGGTGTGGCCCCTTCCAAGACCTATAACGAGAAGGGCCGCCTACCAGCAAAAAAGGGCAAGTGAGGCCTACTACACATCGAATTGTGTTCGCTAAAAAGATAGGTCGAAAATCCTAGACCCTAGAACTGCAGAACATGATCTTATTTGGATGTAGGGCTGTTGCAGATGTAATTAGTTAAGATGAAGTTGTCCTGGAGTATGGTAGGCCCTTAAGCCAATCTGACTGAGATTCTTGTAAGAAAAGATGTGGGCCAGGAGGTGCTATGGTGGTTAAGGGGGCTAGATCCCACACAGCTGACTCATGGTTCAAGTTCCAGACCTGGCGGCTTGAAAATCACGCCAGGTATGGGAGCCAGCAGTTAGTGTAATGGCTATGTCACTGGACTCCCACGTAGTTGACCGCGGTTCGTGTCCCGGACCCGGTGGCTTAAAACTCACGCCGGGCACGTGTGCGTGCGTGCCCAAGATCCCGAGAGAAGAATGGAGGAGAAGGGATTGTGGCGTGACCATCCCCCCTGGGGGGTGATTTCTCGCTTTCTGTCTCTCTGTCTCTCTCTGTCTGTCTGGCGAGCGCACGCGCCCTACAGTGAAAATCTCTCCAAAAAAAATAAAAGAAAATCACGCCAGGTGCATGTGCATGCATGCTCAAAATCCTGAGAGGAAAATGGACGAGGAGGGGTTGCATCACGATCATCCCCTCTGGGGGGTGTTTCTCACTCCCCCACCCCCTCCCTCTCTGATTCTACAATGAGCACATGCTCCCTATAGCAAAAAAAAAAGAAGGAGGGCAGCAGGTGGTATAGTGGTTAAGGGCCTAGACTTCCACATGGCCAATTGCAGTTCGAGTCCTGGACCCAGTGACCTGAAACTCACGTTGGGCATGTGTGCATGCACACCCAAGATCCCTAGAGGAGAATGGAGGAGAAAGGATTGCAGCATGGCCATTCTCCCTGGAGGGGGTGATTTCTCACTGTCTCTCTCTTTCTGTTTGGCAAGCACGTGTGCCCTATAGCAAAAAATCTCTCTTTAAAGAAAAAAAGAAAGAAAGAAAAAGAAAAGACACACAGGAGAAGGTGGTCACGTGATACAGAGGCAGAGATCAGAGCGATGGACCTGTAAGCCAAGGAGTGCCACGAACTGCTGGAAAACACCAAGAGCTCATGGAGACAAGGGAGGCTTCCCCCTGTGGGTATCACAGGGACCATGGCCTTGTGAACACCTCGATCCTGGACTTCCCAGCCTCCAGAGCCGTGAGACAACATGCTGCTGTTGTTCTCAGCCACCCAGTGTGTGGTACTCCACTGCGGTGGCCCTCGAAATCTAATCCAAGGCCAAGACTTCGATTCGTTGTCCTTGGAGAAGCCCCTTCCCCCACACACATGCGCACATGCCACTCTGACCCACCTTTACACTGTAAATCCCTAAAACTCTTCTAACAACCATCTTCCCCAAAACACAGTATCAGGTGGCTGTGTATCTGAAATGTTTGATGGCGGGGAAGCTGTACTTCTTCCCAAACCCTCTGTCGTTCAGACTGGACTGGAATTCCAACTGGCTCTGGGCACTGGAGTCCAACTCTCCTCTCCCCTGACTTCGCTTCTCCTTGCTGGTCCCAGAGCCAGGCCCCTTGGTCTCCATGAGTGTCCTGGTACCTGGCAGACATCATAGTGCTCAAAGAGAGATAAGAAGCCGATGTCGCTGCGGGCAGCGATGCCTCTGAGAAGCGTGATGTTCCCGTTCCCGGAATCCAGCTCCACCACGTCATTGAAAACATTGGACACGGCCTTCCCGGTCAGGAGCAGATTGACAAGTTCCTGCAGATGAGAGAACGGGAAAGGCTTGTCAAGTCTCTGAATCGGCTCCTGAAAGGCTGGAGAGGAGATTGGGAGCTAGAAGAAAAGGGTGGAGAAGGAAGGAAACCAGAGGGAGAAGCCAAATCGGGGGAGGCAGTGACTCCAATTTTCCCACAGGCTCAGAGGGGAGAGAGACCAGCTGTCTCGGCACGGCTCTAATCCCCGGCACGCAGCCACCTTACTCCACAAGCGTCCACTGGGCACTGACTGCACCCAGGACGCCGTCCTTGGCCCTGGGCCCCCGGGGGACCTGGGGGTGGGGGTATAACACGGCTCCTAATGTGGGGTCCTTGAGCCTGCACAACTGAAGCACAGCCAGGAAGAGGCAGGACTGTAAAAACGTGTTCACCAAAGCACTCCAGGGACCAGGTAGACATGACACCACACGGCCGAGTCAGAGCAGCTTTGTGGAGAGGTGACATTTGGGTGGATCTTGAAGGAGAGTGTTTTTTTTGGTGTGGCTTGGTTTTTAATCTTTTTTATTTTGAAATAAATTTTTTTAGAGATTTTTGCCTTAGGGTGCATGCACTCATTGGAGAGAAAGAGACGGAGACAGAGAGGGAAAAGGAGAAATAACCCCCCAAAGGAGGTAGCCATGCTGCAAGCCCTTCTCCTCCTCCCTGGATCTTGGGCATACGTATACACGTGCCCAGCGTGAGTTTCAAGACACCAGGTCTGGGACTCTAACTGCGATTGGCCGTGTGAGAGTCCAGCGACGTAACTGCTACACCATCTGCTGGCCCCTATTTTGAAATAATTTTAGACTCAGAAGAAGCTGCAAACATAGTACAGAATTCCTGCATGCTCTTCACCTAGCCTCCCCAACGATAGCATCTCATGTAACCAAAGCAGATCACCACAGCCAGGAAACGGCTGACCAGGGTGCACTCGCAAGTCGCAGGCCTTTCTTGGTCTTTTTCCATCCAGGATGGGAGGAGGTCTAATGGCAGGGGAGGGAGAGCAGAGGAAGAGACTTTCATGGGGCCAGAAGAACAGGAGCAGAGAGGTGGAGGCAGGGAGCCCAAGTCTGGAGTCCAGGTCTACCTCTGCCTTCACTTTGCATGGCACTAGGTGTTTGGTAGCCCTGTGACTCATGTCGCACAGCCAGAAAGCCACCCAGCAGGCTGACCCTGGGCACCAGAGACAGAGACAGGAAGACGCCTGCATCGGGCAGACCATCATAGCTGGTCATCCCCCCTCCTTGCGCAGGGGGTCCAGGGGCCCAACCTCCTGTTAGGAATGGAGAAACTGGCTCACAGACGAGGAAGGTCCTGCCCAAGCCATGCAGCCATCAGTGCCCCGTCCAGTGATTCCCTCCTCTCTCCAATTGCTGCAGCTTGCCTGGACACATATTCGGGATGAAGGGAGGCCTCTAAGTGCCTGCTGCCCCAGTGACGTAGGATGGCGTGAGCCCAGGTCCTGGCAGGCAGGGCCCTCTGTCCTACTCGCCTCCCACCTGGGCTGGTGCTGCCTGGGAGACGAGTAAGCAGCCATCTCCCACCACACATGGGAAGGGCCAGAACAGCCTTTTCCCCAGAGGGACCTCTGGAGGGCAGAGTTGATAGAAGTGTTTTCCCTTGAACTGTGCAAATGACGTCCAAGATTAATAAATCTGTCCGTCAACACCAACACCCCTGCCCCAGAGACAGTAAAAGAGGCTTCCTCTGATGGCCACAGAAGGGCCCATTAGAGGGAGGGACTGAAGGAGCTGCATTGTGTCCTTACAGAGGAAATGAGAAAAGAATTTGGAGGAAACGTCTGCTCTCAGATACTGTACCTCAGGGGCAGTGGCTATTAAGAAAGGCATAGACATTTCAGGTGGATTCAAGTTTCCCATCTGGTTTTTAAGGGGAAAAAGGACCCTTGCTCCCCATTCTGTGGTATGTCCAAAACCTTTCTCCTAGCAGGAAACCTCTTGGAATGGTAGAGAAGGGGATGATCTCTCCGATCCCTAGAAACCACACAGTGGTGGGCTAGCCAATGGTGTGGTGGTTAAGGTGACCGGGTTCTATATGGCCAAATGAGTGGTTCAAGTCCCAGACTCAGTGGCTTAGAAAATATGCTGGGCACGTGTGCATGCGTACCCAAAATCCTGAGAGGAGAATGGAGGAGAAGGGATTGTGGCATGGCCAAACCCCCTAGGGGATGCTTTCTCACTTTCTCTCTCTCCGTCTCTCTCCAGTGAGTACATGTGCCCTGTGGCAAATGAAAAAAAAAAAACAAAACAAACACACCCAGTGGTAAAGCTTAGCAGTCAACCACTCAGTCCCTTACTATGCCAAGTGTGATTTATGGATCGACCCCATAGCCCTCTGGGGAGCCTATCAGAAATTCAGATGCTCAGGCCCCAACCCAGCCCCACTGAATAGGAGTCTGCTCTTCAACACTGGCAGGAAGGTTTGTGTGCGTGCATGTTTAGAAGCAGGCCTAATGCAATGGCCTCCTGTGCAAGTGAGGACACTGCAGCTCAGGAGGGAAGAAGAGTACGTTCGCTCATTCTGAGTGAAACAGAGGACCAGGCTGGAAAGCCAGTCCCAGACTTCGCTTTGGCATCCTCTGCCTGACTACCTGGCCCTGGGCAGCATCCTCCTCCACCTTCCAAAAAGGAAGCTCCCACAGGACAGCCAGGTGCCCAGAGCAAGGGTGGGACCACCACAGAGCAGCCAGAAGAACAAGCTCTGTCAAGGCCTTCTCTGGGCAGGTGGGCAGCAGCCAACCTCACAGTCCCTTCCTAGGTGCCCTGGACAAGCCACAGGCCCCCAGCTTGCCCCTACCTGGTAGGTTTCCAGAGCTAGGCACAGGCAGGCCAGGACCCCCAGGATGACTGGGTCCTCAGTCATGCCCAGCAGACGGGACAGCTCTGCCCGGCCTGTCCATGCCGCACATGTGGGCACCCAATGTGCTGAGGGTCAGACTTCGCGATGGCCACTCTGGGTGGCCTTGCGGGTGTGGGACTCAGCTCCAGTCCCGAGGCTCCCCAGGATCTTGAACAGGTGCCTTCCCTGGTATCACCAGACTGACTGCGAGAATCCATAACAAGCCGCTGTGCTCAGGGTCTCCCCTGCCCCCACGAGGCCCCTGGAGGGCTGCTTTGTGACGACACAGAGAGAAAGCTGTTATAAGACAATGCCGTGTGCAAACATAAAGAGTGTCATAGTTGTCATCTCCCCTCCTGCACCTGGGGGTGCTGGCCCGAGGGCTCTGCTCCCTGCATCCTAGCCCCAGGCCGTGTGACACCCAGGGCTGTGTTCCACTCCCTGTGTCTGCTGCAGCCCTGAGCAGCTCACAGCAAGCCCTCTGGAAACAGAAGCTAAACTGACTGCTTGTTCTAGTTCCCAGGACTGAAAAGCTGCTTAGAGAGTGGAGAGGCGAGGAAAGAGGGAGGAACAGAGGAAGGGGAAGACCCCCTGGCAGCCCCTGGGTCCCCAGTGCCCCTCACCTGTGTGCAGTAACCGTGTGCTCCAATCAGGTGGTTGGTGGGCACATCGAAGTCCTGGCGGACACTGGAAAATACAAGCAGAAAGTATTAGCACTCTGGTCGGTGCCAGGCTGCCTGGGTAAACCTGCTGCTGACCAAGAGGTCCCTTGGGGTTGCAGGCTGAGGCCCACAGTCCCAGAGTCAGTGGGAACCCGAGCGTTCTGTACTCCATGCCATTGCAGGGAAGGCTCCCACCCAGAGAGATCGGGGCTACACCCCAGGCCCCCCTGAGTCAAGCTCAATATGCTTTCTGGCCTCCCCAGGCCTCCGTCCACACCAAAGAGTGGTGAGTGAAGTAGGAAGCCATGGAAGGCTGCTGGGATTTGAATCCGGTGCCCAGAATTCACACCCTAGCTGTCTCAAGCAGGGAGGGAAGTGGGGACGCCCATGTCGTCTCTGGGCCTCGGTCTGACAGTGCGTTACATGGAAGGGAGACCCCGTCACCTCCCTGAGCTCTGACACAGCGGCTGGCACGCCGAGCTCAGCTCTTGCACAAGCAGGGCACACGTGCCACTCCCTAGAATCCTGTGAGAAAGCCGAGGCTTGGAGAAGGGGCTGACCTACCCAGGAGTGTGACGGGGCTGGAGGGAACCCCGGGGCGGCCAGTCTCTGAGGCCTGTGCTCCCCTCCCCCTGGCTCCACTGTGGCTCCACCCACAGAATGGAGTCCCTGGAAAGGCTCAAGGTGACAAGCCTCTATGCTGAAACCTATTCCTCAAACCAAAAGAAGCAGATTTCTCTTTTTTAAAATTAATTTATTTATATTTTTATTTGACCAGAGAGGGACAGAGTGAGAGAGAGAGAGAGAGAGAAAGGGAGAAAGCAAGCTGCCAGGTCCAATTACTGAGCCACAGTTGGCCATGTGGGAGTTCAGCTCCCTTAACCACCACACCACCTGCCGGCCCCGAGAAGCAGATTTCTAAGGCTGAGCAGTGCTGGAGACCAGAATAGTTCAGGGTATTTCGGTCACAGGGCCCTGCCACAGGTGAGGGGTGAGTCAACGACACCAGGAGGGCCTCAAACCCTCTTCCCACCTGTTACCACAGAAAGTATACCACAGGGACTTGCTCCTCCAGTCGTGGCAGTGCCCAGAGTCCACTGTCCTTCCCGGAGAGTAACCAGTAACGGAGCCACTGCCGCTGCCCGTCACGGTGGTTGGCAGTCTCGATCCCCCAGGCTCCGGGAAGTGGAAATTACTATTTGTGGTTTACAGACGTGGAAAGACGTTCAGAAAGTGGACACCAGGGTGGTGATGTGAAGCCCGAGTCCTGTCTCCTCCCTGGCTGCGCAGGGCCCTGGGGGGCATGCAGCCTGCCCAGCACTGCACCAAGGCCTGGCCCCTCCTTCATCTTCACCCCAAGGACAGCGCTGAGAGGAGCCCAGGAGCGGGAAGGGCTTAGCCGTCAGAATGATCGTTCTTCCTTTTAGTGGGAGGTAGGAGAGAGCTGGTCTCGACTTAGGCTTCAAATCTAAGGTCGGCCACAAGCCCGCGAACCTGTAAAGCACACACGCCAGCCCCTGCATCCTTCCCAGACAGGTTTACAAACTCAAGCTCCCTGATTCTTGCGGGAAAAATGCTTTCCTGCGGCTTTTATGAATAATAACTGTGGTCAAGCGGGGAAGGCTATGGTCCACCTGAGAGGCTGGGCTGGGGCTGCACTGCAGAGCGCACTAAGGCTGGGGGATCTCTGGGCAGGGCCTGCGAGACTCGCCCACCAGCCCCAGCCCCCGCCAGGCCTGGGAAGGAGCCAGCTGGGGTGACTCACGGTTGAGCACAGCGCTCGGCTGGCGCTAGCTCAGGCAGAAGAATTGATGGAAACGCTCTCCGCTGCAAATACAAGCATCTTCTGAAGAGAAGAAAATAACCTCAAAGGAGTCCTGGGTGGACCGATAAGCATCGCTGGCCCCCAGCCACCCCGAAGCTCTCAGAAGCAGTCCGATCTTCATAAGCTCGCAGTCTCGTGTTCACCCAGCGGGCTTGAGAGCCTGCGTCAGCTGCGAGCAGAGGGGCCCGCCGAGAGGACAATGGGAGGAAATGGTAATTGCATCTTTAGGTGCAAACATGATGGGAAATTCAGAAGTACGCTTGGAGCTTAAAAGGGAGGAACATCTGCATTTCAAGTTAGGGCACTCGGGAGACGCCAAGGAGCGGCTTATGGCTTAAGAGATTTACAACTTTGGCAAATCTAGATGCCCGGACCTCCCTCTCGGGGAATTCCCTGGAGAGCGGAGCGTGAGCGTGAGCGCGAGCAGTCCTTGAGAGGAACACCAGGCTCTGTTCTGCCCGAGAGAAAGCTGTCCACACCGCAGGCACAAGGCACAAGGTCCAGCTCCAGCCTGCTGTGCAGCTTCAAATCCCCTCCCTCTGGGCCTCAGTCTCCCCTTCTGTAACACCGGAGGCTTGTGCAAGATGAGAGCTGGGATGAGCTGAATCGTATTTCCCCAAACTCACATGCGAAGTTCTAACCCTAATTCCCCCAGATGTGTGTTTGGAGTGAGAGCTTCCGAGGGGCGATTAAGTTAAAATGAGGCCATGTGGGCACACCCTAATGCAGTTGGACAGTATCCCCATAAAAAGAGAAAATTCAGACACACAAAGGGACCCCAGGAATGCATGCACAGAGGAAAGAGCGTGTGTGGACTCAGTGAGATGGCGCCAGCTGCAACACCCCGGAAAGACGCCTCAGACAGAATCAGCCCATGGGCACCTTGACCTTGAACTTCCAGCCTCCAGAAGGGTGAGAAATAACTTCCTGCTGTTCAAGCTGCCCTGTCTGGGTGCTCTGTCATGGTGACCCTAGGAAACGAACACAAGAAGCTTCCAACATCTTTTTAGATTCAGAGCCCTCTTCTGATGAAATCTTCCATGCAGAAGCCCATTATACAACACGTATGGCAGAGGTGCTCTGGCTGAGGGTGGAATGAAGCCTGTCCCATCCTCCTCCCTCTCCACCAGCCCCGGTGGCCTCTTGAAGGAAGTCCTGGGTCACCAGGACATGCAGCATGGAACTGACTTAACCATTCATTCAAATGAGCAGGTTGTCCCCTTATGGTCCTCCTAGGGATGGGACAGTCCTGGGTGCTAGGAGAGTCTTGCACAGGGTGAGAAGCTAGGCACCACGCCAGATGGTAGTAGCTGAGAGGGCCAGAAAAATGTGCCCCTGGAAGCAGTCCTTCCCTTGGGGGTCCCTGTGGGGAGTAGAGTGCACCTGCATTTCAGAGCCCAAGAAGAGCAGAGTGAGGGAAGCCTGCCTGGATCTGACCATGGGATGGAAATGCCCAAGGTAGGGCCTGGCCTCAGCTGGCCTACCGCCAAGCCCCTCAGTAGATAGGGACCAAGGAGGCAGAATCCTGGACCAAGGGTCGGGGCTGATGGCCCCGCCTTGGGATGTGTGGGTGACCCTGTGACAGAGGAGGGGAATAGAGAGCTCTGGCCAGGATGCCAGCAAGGACAGATCCTCCCATCTCTGTCCGCCATCAGGAGTCCCTGAGACCTACACCAAGAACTAGGACAAAGGGGACGCCAGGGCTGGGTGAGCTCTTGCGCTCAGCGCTGTATAGATGGAAGGTGAAGGCCCGGAGGGTGACACAGATCAGCCCAGATCCAGGCTCAAAGCAAGGTGAGACCCCTACAGCCCCTCTCTGCCACCTGCCCTGTCACACGTCTCAGAGGGGACAGGTCCTGCCAGTGAGCAGGCTGGCATTTGAGCCTCTAGTCTGCGTGGTCTCGAGCACTTTCCAACAGCTCTTTCTCTCAGAAGCCTTGGGAGGCCAGGGGCGAGACCAACTTTTCCGTTTACTAATGGGGAAACTAACGGCTGAGGAGACAGGGCTACGGCTTCACAGTCACACACAGAGTCAGCAGGGTCGGGACCGCGTCTCCGTCACCAACATCACTCAGAGACTGCTGCAGCCTGCAGAACGGGACAGTCAGTCTGGCAGCCAGGAGCGGAAGCCCCAGCCCGGCCCACCACCTCTGGCCTGGGTAGAGCTTGTCCCATCACCTGAAAGTCTCCACCAGGTTCACTAAAGGTAAACCGAGACATTGAGCACAGAAGTTTCCAAACCAGAAGAAAAGCAAGCGCACATGGCTTGGAGACATGGCAGTGTCGGTCTGCAGTCCCGCCTGCTACCGGAAGCCACCGTCACGAGGCAGGTCAGCGGCTGCTTGGCCTCTGATGGCTGAGTGGCCTCGGGCAGGTCCCGATCTCTCTCAACCTGTGTGAGGACCAGAGCACGGACGCTCTGGGGATCTCCTGGGATGTGAACAAGCGTGCCTGTCCATGACTAGGTATTTAAAACATCGAACCTAAAATTGGTAATTAACCTGGCAGGGCATGAGCACCACCCTCCTCCACGGGACTGCAAGGGCACTGGGCCCTGAAGGAGCCACGTCCCCCTGAGTGGCTCCTGCTGGTCCCGCCCAGATAATGCAGCCTCCACTGAACTCCCTCCACCCCCTTATAGCGACCTCCAGCGGTGACAGCTTTTGAGTGGGACTTCTACTACCTTTTAAGGACAACAACACAATTGAAAAGGGCAGCCGTGGGACAACGAAGAGCGGCTGGGCCCCAGAGTTAGGAGCCCTGCATTCAAAGCCAAGCACTGGCACTTGCCAGCTAGCCCCCATCTCGGCCTCAGTCTCCCCACGTGCAATATGGGCATGCTGATGTCTGCTGCTACTTCAGACGGCTGTGAGAACTCCATGACATGAACTATATAAAGCACTTGGCATTCAGCAAATGTCACTTCCTTTTTCCTACTATAACAACAATAATAACAGAAAACAAAAACACAATGACCTGCAGCCTTAACCATCCGTTTCACAGCCAAGAACTCAGAATAAACCAAGACCTCCAAGCGGTCCAACGCAGCCGTGAATATCTGAGAAGAACTTGGATAGAGCGGATATCGGCCGTTTTCCCAGGAAGGCCAAGAGGGAGTGACCGATGAGTCAGAACCAGTGGGTGTCAAGCCCCCTCTGCCACCTGCGCGGTGACCTTCAGCAAATTGCTTTCCTTCTCTG